AGATAATTGCTACTGCTCGGGAGGAAAAGGAAAACCAGACACCTTTCCCCACCACCACCCCCCCCAAAAAACAACCAACCAAACAAAACAACCCTAAGGAAAAATCCCTACCAGGTCAACAAACAAGCCCTGAGGAATTCTGCTAAAAAATAAAGATCCTCAAACTACTGAAACCTCTTCCTATCTCTCTTCATCTTGATAGAGTGACAGTTTGTCCTGCACCAGAAGGATGTGCTAAGGACTTTACCCATCATGGTGACAAAGACAGCACACAGAAACTTTAAAAAGGAAGGAAGAAAGTAAGCACAAGAAAAACCTTAACAAAAAAAAAAAAAAAAAAGAAGTGGTAACATTGCCCATGAAGCATGTAGCACAGCCTCCTCCTTAGTGCATGACCAGCTTAGCACCTGTTTGTATCAACTGTATCACATTAAAGATGGTGGACAGTCGCTCAGAACAGACTCTTGGGAGCCTTAATGCACTTTTGCAGATCCAACAAAGTATTTGAGTAAAAAAGAGAATATGAGTTGAGGTTTTAAAAAAAATTTAAAATTACCTAAGCGTTAGCCCAAGTTCCCTCTGTGGGATGGCTGCTAGGAAAGTCCTTTTCTAAGGGCTCATTTTCTTGAGCTGGCATCCAAATACTTTTGGAGCTGATGGTATTTTGGTTGCACCTTTCCGAGTGTGTTTTTCTCCAGTGTTTACCACTGTTTTCATGTGCTGGCCATATGATAATACCTTGTAAGATAAGAGATACCTGTAAACACCATTCCTGTGGCATAAGGTTTCAGCTTGTTGTGGAACAACCAAGACCTGACCTTTTCAGAGAGCACTGGTTCCCACACCACTGCAGGTGCCACTGCTAAAACATATCTTCTAACCTAATCTGGTGCTCCTTTGCCTCCTATTTACTCTTCCCCACTAAGCCTTGTGGAAACAAGTTGTTTCTTAAATTTTCTGGCTCTTTGGGAGGCCAACAATTGGCACTATGCCATCAATGTCTTCAACGCTTCTGAAGGATTTCATTCTCTGAAAGGAATTCATTTCAGGTCTGCTTTGTTACTTCAGGAACCTATGGATTTATATACATTTTCACTGTTGAATCCTGAGCTGCCATCGCCTGACAGTTGAGAGCTGCCAACACTGAGATGACTGCTGTTGGCAAATCTTTCTACAACCTGGTGGAGCCAATTTTCAGGCAGAGCAAACTCGCTGTCATTAGCAGCTTAGCTTCTAGTTAAGAAGCTTCTCTGGCAAGTCATGAGGCTCGCTCCACAGGCGAAAATGTCAGCACCCTACTGCTAATCACACAACTCTTCCAAATAATATATTCTTGCTCCAGAAATGCTAGTGAATGCTTGGGAGTAAATTGGAAATTACAGCCTGTGATGAATTGTCCAGATCTTTCCTGTGTAATTATCCACGGTCTCTACAACTGCCTCTATGATGTAGGGTTGTTGGTTTTCTGGGTTTTGTTTTTGTTTTTGTTTTTTTAATGTGCCAGAAGCCTGATGGTGTACCTGTTTCACTGCGTGTGCTTCTGTGTGTGCCGCGACACATGCTGGAGAACCTCTTCATAGTCACTGAACGTTCACGTATGCAGTGAGCAGCAAAGGCTATCAGCAAAGCTGAGAACAGCCTCCAGGCCACTATGGAAAGATCAGCTATTCCACAATAGCCACAGGTGAAGTCTGGGAAGTATGGCGCTTCACACAGTGGGGAAGATATGAGGTATGCTGCTACTGACCCCTAAGCTGTGCAGAACTTTCATGATGCGCAGCATGTTCATAAATAAACACAGTTTGACAAAGTATAAATATATCGTCGTCTAGGTCAGAGTAATCCTTCTCGGACAGTGACCTTCTCTCCTGAAATGGCAGGTGGGGCTGGCATACCAGGCTCTTTCCTTCACCATCCTACGGGACATCGTTAAAGAAGAAAAAAACTAATGCGGTTGTTCTCCACGCAGCATGCATCTTAAGAGAAAACCTGAAGGAAAGTGCATGTGTGTGTGTGCATAACTAGAGAAATATGTAATGAATGCTTTGATGACAGTGTTTGTAAGAAATGTGAGTTGGAACAGAGAGATGAAGGGTGGAGTAAAATAACACATTTGTAAAAGGAGGCTTGCTGGAAGTGGATAATGTACAGGACCTGAACAGGAGGAATACTTTTGCATGGGCTTAGAAAAAGAGAGGAAACCATTGGAAGGATTCACAGAGTTGAAATACAACAGCAGAAAAGAGGTGGGGTTTTTTGGTTTTGTTTATTTTTAAGTCATGTTTTACATAGAAACATAACTAGTACGTATGTAAACTAGTTAACAACAATTAGATAGCAAGGTGGCCAGAGGACTATTAAATTGCTAAGGAAAGACAACAAATTCTGCTTTTAAAGCACTTAGGATGACGTTCAAGATGGTACGGCAGATACACCTAATGAAACAAAATCAGCTCGAGAAGCTGAGTTGAAGTACAGGCAGAAGAGTGGCAGCTCCAGTCATGAAATCCAATAAAATCATGAAAAAACAAAAGGTAGAGAGGGCAGAAAAAGGGAAGGAAGAGCTTGAGACTTCATTAGAGTCTAAAATCAGAAGTCAAGAAGTTTGGAAGGAAACATGAAAAACCCTAAATTGAAATTAGTTTCTTTCAGTAGTGTAAGACAGCAAAAAAATATTTATTTTTCAGGAAGCAATGAAATGGCTTTACTGTTCAGAGTTAAGCATGCTTTTTAAGAGGAGTCATTTCCTCCCAGGTGCTAGTTCTGCAAGCGTTCTTACGCCCCCAAGTTAATAATCAGGACCTACATAAAATAAAACCAGGAAAAATAACCTGGCCATAGGCTTTTTTACACTGCCTTCTGGAGCCCCCTTTCAAGCTTGTCCAGCTATCACTCCTTCATTGCATTGTGCATTTTTTTTCTCCAGCGACTATTTTGACCAAAGCAACTCAAAATAACAGGTGAGCAATCATTTACCTTGCAAAACTCTCCTAAGTAATATTACACATTAGAAAAAATTAGCATGCATTCGTCATTATAGGAGACGTAATAGGTCTGACTGAACCCTTAACGCCTTGCGCGGCCGTTCTCCGCTCTCATAGCTGGTGCCAATCAGTCAAAGAACCACCATAAGGCGGGCAAAGTGCCGTATAGCCCTGCCCTGAGACTGGGTGAGGCCAGGGTACCCCTCTGCTTCGCAGGGTTTAGAAAGAGGAATCAAAAGAAGACTCATGTTAAGGCTGTTCCTTAGGATCAATCCTAAGGATAGAACTAACTCTCCAGTATCTCTCCTAGTCTCTGGGCTGTTTCAGGAAGGAATCGCTTTATTACTGTGGAATATCCTGAGTGTTTCGGCTAATATTGATTGGATGGAGAAACCAATTTTATCCTGTTCCTGGTTCCACTCTCGGACTGGAGAAGAACATTGCTCATCTAGAAATAAGCTTTCACCGTATAGAAATCAGTCTTTAGTTCAGTACTTGCTTCTGAAAACAGTTTAAATGATGCTCATGATACACTCACTGGATTTGCTTTGGTGATTGGGAACTAATAGTACACTGGGTAAACAGGGAAGGGCAAAGTGCATCTCTTCCCCAAGAGTGACCAGGCCACTTCATATGAATACTGTAAATGAACGAAATGTGTAACTCCTGTGATCTTGCTGAAGCAAAAAACTCTTCATTACACTATGTGTAGGATACTTTTGGGTTTACCTGATTTGCAGTTATGCAAATTCTTAATTTTGTGAAGGAATTACTGGTGTTGCTCTGTGGAACAAAGCAGCACAGAGAGGAGACCTGCTCACGCAAGATTCTCTGCATTATCGACTTTTGAAGTAAAACAAAGGATATAGAGATGGTAATCCTAAACCTGCCTTATGCCTCTTGCTGTTAACAGCAATCAGACTGAGGATGTGCTCAGTCTTGAATTGCTTTAGTAATACCCTGCACCAGCACTTAAATTCGCTTAGACTTAGGGCAGGGTTGCGTGACAGTAGCACACTGGTTTCTGCGGGGAAAAATAAAAGTGGTTTATCCCATGCTTTGTCAGCAACCAGCACAGGGTTTGACATTCACTCACCCTGCTCATAACCTCGGACAGATAGTCACACAAAAGGAACTGCAGTGATCTTTTTTCACCTACGGTCCTGCGTTCCTGTAATCCCTTGAAAGAGTTCCTCAGACTGAATAAAGGCATTTTTTTCTTTCCCCTCTGGAAAAAGAGAGGAGAGCTGTCTGGAGAACTCCAGCAGAGAGCATCGTGTGGAGTCGACCCCAGCCCTGTGTCTGTGGCCTAGAAACATCTTTGTGTGGCTAGGGTAGCTCCCACCAAAACACTTTCAGACAGAGAACAAGTGTTAGGAAAACACCGGACACAAAGCAACTTTAGCAAACTTGGTATTTTATTAGGTCTCCTCTTACTGCTGCTCTTAACTGAGTCGCTGAGAAAACAACATACTCCAACACACGCTCACTTTTTAATACCTCTTTAGTATTTAGGTACTCTGCCGATCACGAAAAACAGCAATGATCAAGCAGTTTGTTAGCAGGAAGGAAACCTTTCTTGGCAGCCTGTTTACGTCTTCTTGCATGCATCACTAAACCTTGCACTTAACCCACTGCCTTCATCTAAGAGAAAAAATAATTTTGTCCTTCACCTGGTTTTTTTCGCTTCCCTTTCAGACTCCAAACATTTAAGAAAGGGGCCTGAAAATGAAATGTGTAATTGTTCTCTCATCTCACTTAACCATGCTGTCAATTCTGGTGAGCTGATAGCCTGTACATGAGTTGGCTCGACCGAAAATTACAAATGTATTGCCCAAGTTGCCTTACTTTATTAGCATATTATAAATACAAAATTTTCAGTCAACTTCACTTAAGGGAAAAATTTTATAAATGACATTTTAGTGGTCCCACTATGCTTACACAGGCCAGCAGGTGAATACTTCGGCTTTCTTTGAAATGTCTTCGTCCATCACTTCTCAACCTGCAGATCTCAAGATGGCGCGCATTTCTGCTTGCTGCAGTTCTGCTCTGGCCCCTCAGATTTCATCTGAGGCCTCGGACGGATGTACCCTTCCTGTTATCACCGTGCGGCGTCACGCAAGGCTGGGCAGGCACAGGTTGGATATTTGCTCGTGCTGCGCTTGAGTAGAGGAAAACAGAGCTGTTTGAATTGAGTAGAGGAAAAACAGACTTGCTGAGTAGAGGAAAACAGACTTGCTACCAAATGGAATTAAAACTTTGCTATTAAATTACATCCTTCATATGAAAATTTCTAATTGGACAGGAATTTATGCTTTAGCTAGCTAATGGAGAGTTTAGAGCTACTTCTTATCAGGTGTGGCGGAAGCCTTTCTACACATTTGTAGCTGAAATAAATCTTTCCCCTCTAATGCAATTCACTTTAAAGGAAATTTCAATAGCTATCCTCTGCTGAATTTGGTCTTCTCAGGTGACCTGTGTTACATCTTTCAGTGTAGACATATGCACAAAATTCTTAAAATAGTTTCTTTTGTACAAATGTTTAAAACCACGGTTGTTCTCACTTCTTCATGTAATGACTAAGTCCCCCTGCAAACTTGATACTCTGTCCACCACAGCATTTTGCTCATAGGTTTTCCAGAGTGCCGATTCTTAGAGATTTATGGGCTTTCATGCGTTTAATGCTGATTTCAACCACGGAAAGTTCTTAGGACAGTGACACTGCAAATCGGGGGAAGGTGGAAAGCTTCACCTTGTGTTTTTCTGACACTTTCTTATAGTTTCTACAGGCAATTTACATTCTACTACCACATTTTCCACCTAAAGCCACTAGGAAAACATGAACACGCTTCGAATGGTTAAGGCAGAATGAAATTCCTGCTACACTGCTGATGCATATGATCTGAATGGGGGAGGTGGGGGGACCACAACAAAGTATTTTTTTTGGCTTGAGCATAGATTAATAAATATATACAAAACATAAATGGGTATGTATAAATAAAGCATACGTGGCTTGAGCGTTAGAAATTTTAACCAGGGCTCTTCCGCCGCACCCACCAGCGGCTGGGCTGCCCGGCCCGCACACCGCGAGCACAGGCCGGCGAGCCTTCCCCGCTGTGGAAGAGACACAGGGGTGCCCAGGCCTTAGGCCGCCCCTCCGCCGCGTACCCCGGGGAGGAGCGCCCCAAGACCCGCCACCCCCTCAGCGGAGGAAGACGGCCTGCTGCCCGGGACGCCCCCGCCG